ACGGGGTTTCACCGGGTTAGCCAGGATGGTCTCGATCTCCTGACCTCGTGATCCGCCCGTCTCGGCCTCCCAAAGTGCTGGGATTACAGGCTTGAGCCACCACGCCCGGCCCACTTAAAGGCATTCTTAAGCCACAAACAATAGCATGAACAATCTGTGGACATGTTCCTGCTGCAGTTAACTAGCCCAATCTATTCCTTTATTTTGGCCCATCCCTTGGTTTCCCATAAGGGATACTTTTAGTTAACCGAATAGCTATAGAAACAATGCTAATGACTTGTTTGCTATTAATAAATACGTGGGTAAATCTCTGTTCTGGGCTCTCAGCTCTGAAGGCTGTGAGACCCATGATTTCCCACTTCACACCTCTATATTTCTGTGTGTGTGTCTTTAATTCCTGTAGCGCTGCAGGGTTAGGGTCTCCCCAGACGAGCTGGTCTCGGCACAGGAGAAAGATGTAGGCTGGAAGGCTAGGCTAGTCTCGCCTTTTTACATTTTTCTGCCTGCTTTATATTCGCTGGCAGCTGATTAGATGGTGCCCACTAGATTAAGGGTGGGTCTGCCTTCCCCAGCCCACTGACTCAAATGTTAATCTCTTTTGGCAACACCCTCACAGACACACCCAGGATCAATACATTGTATCCTTCAATCCAATCAAGTTGACACTCAGTATTAACCATTACAAAATTTAATTTTTAAAAATCATCATCTCTATCTGTATGCATGTTTTGTACGTTCTTGGATACAAGGCTATTTTTCTGATCAAAATAAATAGAAGTCGTGCGTCAGGTTGGAAGTCCTGTTTTAGATTAGGTTAGGTTATTGATTCGAGGTTATCTGATAGAAAATAAGGAGCTTGATTTGATTATTAATTAGAGGAACAGGTCAGGACAGTAACATAAAAACCTGGAACTCCCAAGATGATTAAACCATAGAGTTTATGGAATCAGGCCCCTTTTTACAGCAATAAAATATTTCTCATCCATGTCTCTCTAGAACTTGGTGTGTTACATTTTACTCTGACCTTTTTTTCTTTTTACTACAACCTCTGACACAACTTTTAAAATAATTTCCTTCAGTTTTTTCTGCCTATATTCATGGAATTGCATGCCACGCATGCACATGCACACACAAACACACCCCATTTGTAAGACTGTTACTTAATCTTTTGCTACCTGATTTGACCTAAACTTCATCTAATACATGCATAGTGTGAATGGAGCAATATATGACATTTTCTCTAAATATGATTGTTAAATCACATAAGCGCCTCCTCTATGGTACCACATAATTTTCCACTTTTGAGTAAAATTAAGAATCTGTAATAATAATCACAATATCATTTATCCTTCTTTTGATGCTCAAACAACACTATCTGGTCAACAGGAGCTCTGTGGCCTGTCTCCTTTCTTTTTGGCACTCCACAGCATCTGTGAGAGCAACAAAGGTGTCCAGGCACACCTTGATTTCCCTTATTGCTTTTCATCAGGGAGAGACATTTATCTGGCCACTCTGGAGGAGATTTTACTGGAGATGGGGCTGAGTTTGGTCCGCATGAGAGCACATGCAGGGGCAACAAAGATCTGTGTATTAAGGGTCCTGAATTCATGCAGTAGTTTCCAGCTTATCTATGACTTTACTAAGCCCTTTCTTAAAATTATTTTTTCAAATATGTTTTTAATTTTCCCTTTTAGAGCTACTACTAGTTCTTCAGAGTTTTCATTATGTGTGTGACTTATACAATATATATGTAACTTATACAATGACATAGTAAAACTAACAGAAGAAAACAAAGGGGAAAAATGAATAGGGTCATTTGTAATGTAAATGAATATATAATAGACATATTTATAAACTAACTTATTTCCTATAACAAACTGGTTTTATGACAACCTGCAATTTCTAAAAAACATAAAGTTTTTTGTCTGATATGCTGAATAGTAATTATTCTGTATTTCTTATCATCTTAGGAAAAATATTTTACAGTGAAGCATCTAAATACAGAAAGTATGTTCGGGTTAAAGGAAATTAGGAAATTGCTTTCTCTTTGTTCAAGACTCCTTGTCCATATTTCCCTTTTAACCAAGGACAGGCAAGAAGAGAATTATGTGGTATATTTATGCTGCACAGTTGTCCTTAGGGGAACTGCGATGATTCCACACTGACAGTCTCTGCCAAATGAGGCATTGGTCGGGACTTGATGGAAGAGCTGCCTGGGATACACACAAGCACAGATGATGACACTGTGAAGAGTGGCCACTCTAAATGCACGGGGGAATTTTAAAGATTATCCCGGAATTATAAAAAGCTTAATTTATAAATGTCTGTTTATTTCCTCTCTTACATGTTTAGTCTGAGCTACTTTACATCACTTTTACAACTCAGAGTCAGCTAAGTGGCATACTTAAAGCGGGAGGAAAAAGATAATATTTATAATTCTACGGCAAGTACATCATAGTGTATTCTGTTCATATTTTTGAGCTGAGATACTCAGAAGATTAAAAAAATTGTTATATTCTTAGGTAACTGAATCATTACAAACTTTTAAAAATTTTTCCTATGCTGAGTACACATAAACCATGTGACTGGGAATAATTTTTTTTAAAGTAAAAGGTTAGAAGTTAATTTAAAAGTATTTCACAAACTTTGACATGTAAAATGCTATGCGGAGTAAAATTGAGTTATAAGACACCATCCTGATCTCAAAGGGGAAACAAGATAACATATGTTGAAATGCCAGATCTTAAGACACACTAAATAAGAGAGTCAAGGGACACATTTCCAATAATTCATGTATTGAGGTGAAAGAGGGATTGGATAAGTATGATTAAGATACACAAAATAATATTTATGTTTTTAATATATACGATCATCTTAAAATGAACTATTGACAATATTTTTGAATACTTTAACAACTGTCAGGCTGTGCTTACATTAATAAAAATCAGTCACAGGACGTGGTAGCAGCAATTTAATAATGCTTTCTTGTTCAGCTGCTGTTGAGTGAGAGTGGAATGGAGGAAGCAGTTGAATGTGGAAGTTGGAAAATGGGCCCTGCGTCTATCTACATGGATTCAAATCCCAGCTCCATCACTTAATAGCTGTGTGGCCTTAAGGGATATTGGACTCTCTTCAAGCCTCCGTTTGCTCACCATAAGACAAGAATAATAATCTACCACTTTTAGTGACTGCCATGTATAGGTTAGACTTATTTTTGGGTTCCTTTAAAGTCAGCACCATGGCAGAAATTTCAGGACAGCCAGAGACCAGCTGCCAGTTGGTTCTCTACACGGTTTGAGCCCACTCAGATAACTGCTCATGGTTTTCAGTTCTCTGCTAGTGATGTGAATACCATTTTCATTTCTTTGGAGAGATCTGTATTTTTCTGCTGTCACCAGACCACAGAAAGGCTTTCGCCTGCAAACAGGTACTTGCTTTGAAGAGGGGAGATGTTTCTGTCTACTTCATAACATCTCATACATCTCAGAAAACAGAGCTGGCTTAAAGCTTGGGATAATGAACTCTCAGGCCAGTTTGTTAGAAACGCCACCAGAGTCTGAAGTCACAAGCTCTCTGAGATATATTGGACTTGTGTACTTCCCTTTAGACCATATCTAAAGCTTGCCTCCTGTGGGTGTTCTTTATGGACGGTCCACACCTCACCACTTCTTCAACCAGTGGCAAGTAAAAGGGGTCCCATCAAATTCCTCCTTCTGGGACCCCACATTGCACTTAAACAGATTAGCCGGTGATTGCTTTCCTTATGTTGTCTCCCAACCTATATCTTGAACATTTCCAGCCTGAAGACAGGGCATACACTTTTTGTTCTCCCTCAATAATTTGAACGGAGCTCAGTAAATATTTTGGGGACAAGCTGATTTGAGAGAGTGAGAGAAATCAACATCATTCTTGCCAACATGCTGTAAAATATTTCTCTTCCTGTGCAGGGAAACAATTAGAATGGGAAGTTTATTCACCAGTAGGTGGCAGTGTAGACAGATTATTATAGCAGAAAAACAGTAAATTGCTAAAAATGCCTGATTTCATGTTTCATTCCTGCAATACATTTTCTAACACTTCCAGTGTCCTTGCTTTTCCTCTCAGCTCTGTCTGCCACTGCCCTGCGTGACTGTTGCCTGAACAATTGTTTTGGCTTCTTAACAAAGCTCTCCAGTCTTGACCCTCTTCTAGTAGCCCCTGATATTTCTGCCAAATCACATTCATAAGTGCTGATCCGATTGTGTCAATGTCCTGTGTAAGCTCATAGGTGCTCTCTATGTTGTGCAGTGCCAAGTCCAAGCAACCAAACTGGTTTTCCAAACTGTTGACATTTGGAACCTTTGTAATTTTCACTCTTACTTTATTATCCAGCTACACTGGTCTTCTCAATTGTTTTTTTTTTTTTTTTTTTTTTTTTCTAGCAAGGATATCCCATTGCTCTGAGCCTAGTATATCCTTAGAATATTTATTATTCAGATATGCATAAATCCTATATGTACATCACATAAATATCCATCCTTATATTCCTACTCATTCCCTACAGCCTGCCCAGTTGGAATTGATTACTCTGTTCCTTATTCCCAAAGTACTTTGTTCCTTGAAGTCTTTCTATCCCACTGGAACTGTTTTCAAGATCAGATGAGCGACGTGGGCGCTATTTCTAAGTACTGTGAACTTCCAGAGAGAGGGAGTGGTATGTGTGTGTTCATGGATGAGAGAAAGAGTATGCACTCAAAACATTAGTTTAAAAGTTTAGGCTGGCTCGGTGGCTCATGCCCGTAATCCCAGCACTTTGGGAGGCTGAGGCGGGTGGATCACGAGGTCAAGAGATCAAGACCATCCTGGCCAACATGGTGAAACCCGTCTCTACTAAAAATACAAAAATTAGCTGGGCATGGTGGTGCGCGCCTGTAGTCCCAGTTACTCAGGAGGCTGAGGCAGGAGAATCACTGGAACCCAGGAGGCGGAGGTTGCAGTGAGGCAATATCACGCTGCTGCACTCTAGCCTGGTGACAGAGTGAGACTTGGTCTCAAAAAAAAAAAGGGGGTTTAACAGATTGTCATTGTATCTTCATTACAAAATGCTTGCCAATACCATCATAAAGAAACAAAGATAATTTATTAGATGCACGGTAGTCTTTGCCGAAAATGATGCTGAAGAAATTGGACACCTATAGGAAAAAAGAAAAAGAAAACCATAGACACAGTACACCTTTCATGAATACTAACTTAAAATGAATCATAGGCCTAAATGAAATGTAAGACTATAACTTCTAGAAGAAAATCTAGTTGAAAATACAGATGATCTTGGATTTGGTAATGAGTTTTTAGATTTGGTAATGAGTTTTTATATGTATCACCAAAGGTACAATTCATGACAAAAAAAATTGATAGATTGGACTTTATCAAAATTTAAAACATTTACTCTATGAAAGATACTGTTAAGAGAATGAAAAGATAAGCCACACACTGGGAGAAAATATTTGTAAAAAATATAGCAGATAAAGAACTTGAATCCAAAATATAAAAAATAAAAAGAAAAACAATAATAGCAGAAAAAGGTAGATTGAAATCCTAAATAAATCTTATAAAAAATACAAAAACTCAGTGAACCAATCGAGACAACTCAGTTTAAAAAAAAAAAAAAAAAAAAAAAAAAAAAAGAAAACGAACAACTCAGTTTAAAAATAGACAAAATGGCCAGGCACGGTGGCTCATGCCTGTAATCCCAGCGCTCTGGGAGTGGAGTTTATAGATAAACAAGGGAAGAAGCTAGAATCATCCACGTGATAATAGATTCAAACTAGAAACCTCAATATACATTCATGTTTAGTTTAATATGGGTACACACTGTTACACATAGAAATATGTATGGATATATGTATACACACTGGTTAGTACACACACACTGCCTTACCCTGTCAGCGCAGAGGGTCTAGAGGCAGTAACACCCAGTAATGAGGAGCACACCTGCAGCCCAGGTCCTGGTTTCTAACAGTATTTACTAATAAAAGGGTCCTGGGCTCCTTGGACAACTGGCCAATTCTAACACTGGGGCAGGTACTACTCAAGAGGAGCCTGAAGTATCTTGTAGTGACAAAAGGAAGTGCAAAAAAAAAAAAAAAAACCCCACACATACATGCAATGAAGGGGAGAGAGGTGTCTGTCAAAGGAATTCAGGAGCCAACTAAAAGAGCCATCTAGGTATGAAGCCCAGCATGCATTAACTCTTTTTCCTAATGCTCTACCCCCTGACACCCTGCTCTCCCCAAACAGGCCCTGGCGTGTATTATTCCCCTTCCTGTGTTCTCATTGTTCAGCTCCCACTTATAAATGAGAATATGCAGTGTTTGGTTTTCTGTCCCTGCATTAGTTTGCTGAGAATAATGGCTTCCAGCTTCATCCATGTCCCTGCAAAGGGTATGATCTTGCTCCTTTTTATGACTGCATAGTATTCTATGGTGTATGTATCACATTTTCTTTATCCAGTCTATCATTGATGGGCATTTGGGTGGATTCCATGTCTTTGCTATTGTGAGTAGTGCTTCAGTGAACATACAGGTACATGTATCATTATAATAGAATGACTTATATTCCAAGTATATACTGAGTATATACCCAGTAATGGAATTGCTGGGTCAAATGGTATCTCCAGTTCTAAAACTTTGAGGAATCACCACACTGTCTTCCACAGTGGTGAACTAATTTACTAATTAGAACTAATTCTCACCAACAGTGTAAAAGTGTTCCTATTTCTCTGCTACCTCATCACTAAAAATTAGCTGGACATAGTGGTGGGCACCTGTAGTCCTAAATCCTCAGAAGACTGAGGTGGACTCAGAAGATTGAGGTGCTTAAGCCTGGGAGGTCAAGGCTGCAGTGAGCCGTGATCACACCACTACACTTCAGCCTGGGCAACAGAGTGAGACCCTGTCTAAAAAAAAACATTCTAAAATAGGAAGTCCATTTAAACAAAAGTCCACATCATGTGTAATTCTAATGAATTATATAGGAAAATTACTTTCCATACAACAAAAGAGTAAAATTTTAAAGCACTATCCTTGATTTTGTAACCTTTTCCGGAAAACTACTGAACATACCATCATCACAATATATAGTAATGTTGTCTGTCATAGCATTTTGGCATACTTTCCGTGGTTCTCAAATGTAGGTCATACTGTCTCCTCAGAGGGCCACTGCAAATCTGGAAGAGTGAGTTGAATTGATATGTTGCATGGGAATTAGTACTGGCATTTAGAGGATGTAAGCAGGGATGTTAAAAATCCTACAAATCAGTAAAGGCATGGTGGTGCACGCCTGTAGTCCCAGCTATTCCAGAGGCTGAGGCAGGAGAGTTGCTTGAGCCCAGAAGTTCAAGCCTTTAGTGATGAATTGTGCTTGTGAAGCCACTGCACTCCAGCCTGGGCAACATAGCAAGACCCTGTCTCTAAAAAAATGTAAGTTAAACTTTCAAAAATCCTGCAAATCAAAAGGCAGACCCACACAATGAATAAGTTTTCTGCCCCAAATACCAACAAGGTTGTTCACTGAGAAACACTTAAAATGGAAGTATTATTTCCATTTCCCAACTACATAAACTGTCATATCACGGGACTAAATTTTACTATTATTTGACCATCTTGGTTTGGTACCACTTTTTACATACTGAAATTACTTTCTTATATTATCGTCATCTTCTTCAATCAAGTCCTGGGATTGAGCTAGAGCAGTCATCTTGATGTTACAAATAAATAACTTGAGAAGCACAGAGGTTTTGTGGCACCCTCATGTGACTCAGAAGCCAACCCTACCATAACTTTCTGTGGGAATGCAAGTGAATCTACGTTTCTCAGTTTGGAGAAATATCTAAAATAAGGAGCTGGGTCGCTCACACTGACTCCTCCTTCTAATCAACTCACAGGTGGAAGAGATGTTTGGAGTTAGTAATTTTCCTAAATTCCATCATTCTTCCTCTCACTCACTAAAAAGAAAATGTACAGTTTTGTTGTCACAAGACAGATCTTCCTTGATTTAAAGTTAACCATATTTTAAGGGAAGATGTAGTTAAGTCTTTCTTTTTTTTTCTTATAATTAATTCTTACATCCTACAGTCTGTTCTTTCTTGATAAGCTGCAGTGTTCTGTAAAAATGACATGATAGTTGAGGTATGCACCTTCCATTCTTTTAAATTTACATGGTAAGTTTTACTTATAAAAATTTAAGAAATCACTTTCTACATGAGTAGCATCAACAATAAAAAACAGAGTTATCTTCACAATGAATAAACTATACTCTTGTGACTATTTCAGGAAAGAGGTTACTAGTTAATTTAATTTTGTGATTAACTTAGTGTTCACAATATACTAAATTTTTTTCAAAATTTGTTTTAGAACTACAGTTTAAGTCACAGAAACATACCCAGAAGAATAACAGGGATAGAACATATTGGGCAAGGCACGCCCCATTGGTGAGGAGAAATATGCAAAAGCCCAAATTAGATACAAAACTCACTTAATAGGCCAAGCAGAGTGACTCACAGCACTTTGGGAAGCCGAGGCTGGCAGATCACCTGAGATCAGGAGTTCAAGACTAGCCTGGACAGCATGGCGAAATCCCGTCTCTATTAAAAGTACAAAAATTAGCCAGGCGTCGTGACGCATGCCTGTAATCCCTGCTACTCAGGAGTCTAAAGGAGGAGAATCGCTTGAACCTGGGAGGCGGAGGTTGCAGTGAGCCAAGATTGCACCACTGCATTCCAGCCTGGGCAACAAAGCTAGACTCTGTAAAAATAAAATAAAATAAAATAAAATAAAATAAAATAAAATAAAATATACATAAATAAAAACAACCCTCACTTTAAAAATGTATACATTAGAGGAATAAAGCTAAATGTTTTTAAGGACTATTTCCATGAAGTTTACTCTTCATTCTTGGAATATTTCTCTCCAGATTACCAGTCAATGATTTAAAACAAGAGTGGAATCCACCTAAGAGAGAAATGTTATCAAGTGGTTTCAGCTGTGTCAGAAGCACCACTGCTTTGTGAAAGGTAAATTACAGCATGATTGAATAATTACAGTTCTCTTTATCAGTCTATGGTCAGTTTGAATGATCTGGATCAACATCCTGGGAATTTACCTATTTTCATTAACCTCACACTTCACAATAATTCAGCATATGTGGCTAAACCAATCCATTATATGTTGGTTCTTTTAACTTTCAATCCAGAATATAAACTTTTTCCGATGTTCTCAAATGTTATCAGAGTTAAAGACAGGAGTTCCTACTCTCCTCAACCTTTAGTGTTCCTAAGAACCACACAGGAATTGAGTGAAAACAGTTTTCTCAGGTCCCATCTCTAGAAATTTTGATTTTTAGATCTGAGTGTGGGAACCAGGGAACCGCAATTTTTTTTATTTTTTATTTTTTATTTTATTTTATTTTTGAGACGGAGTCTCGCTCTGTCGCCCAGGCTGGAGTGCAGTGGCCGGATCTCAACTCACTGCAAGCTCCGCCTCCCGGGTTCACGCCATTCTCCTGCCTCAGCCTCCCGAGTAGCTGGGACTACAGGCGCCCGCCACCTCGCCCGGCTAGTTTTTTGTACTTTTTAGTAGAGACGGGGTTTCACCGTGTTAGCCACGATCTCCTGACCTCGTGATCCGCCCGTCTCGGCCTCCCCAAGTGCTGGGATTACAGGCTTGAGCCACCGCGCCCGGCCGGAACTGCATTTTTAATGAACAACCCCTCCCCTACTCACCATCCTGGAAAAAAAAAAAATTCTGTGCAGAGAGTCTGTGAATCACACTTTTAAAGTGTTTTTAATTTTGTAATGCTTTATATTGAAATCATTTTAGACTCACACAAAAGTTGGAAAAGTAGTACAAAGAGTTCCTATATACCACTTACCCAGCTACGCTAAATGCTAACACCTTATGTAACCATAGTACAATCATCAAACCCAGGAAATTAAAATTAATACAATATTATCAACTACTCCCCAGGCTGGATGCACACGTAGCCACGTTCTCTGCTGACGTCCCTTTCCCGGTCCGGGAGATGACCCAGAATCCCACTCTGCTTTATGAGTAGGCCCTCCTTAGTCTCCTTCAATTTGGGAAGTTCCTCAGACTCCTGTCTTTCATGACCTTGACACTTTTCAAGAACACTGACT